ACTTGCCAAGCTTCGTCACCTCGGTGTTACGGGAAAACTCTTTGAGTGGCTGAATTCTATTTGTACGGGAGACTATGACCATCAAAGTGCGGCGCAGCTTATCTGTCAGGCACCACTGTAGCAATGGTGTCCTTCAGGGAAGCGTCTATCACCACAGCTTTTTCTGTATTACACAATGGATCTGCCCGCTAGTATCAAAACATTGCCTAAGGTGAAGGTCCAGATGTCGATGGATGACATAAGACTTTACGTCGCATACGATGGCTCCAATAAAAATGAGAAGTAAGCAGCACTTCAGCTTTCTGTTACGAGATTGGTGAATTAGACTGCCGCATGGGGACTTTCAATAAATATCAACAAATGCACAGTCCTTCATCTAGACTGAGTATAAAATAAATAGCATTATCGTGGGTAGCTGCATATGTGTAAAAGATCTAGGTATATTACTGCAGTCTGGTTAAAAAGTCACAGCCCACAGTGATAGGGTGGCAAAAAAGCTTTTGCTGCCCTCTTCATTATTTCACGTAACACTCAGATGAAGGAGCCCAAAATACTTCTGCGCTTATGCAGTGCCTAGCTAATACCTCATCTGAACTATTGCTCATAGCTATTTAACCCTGCCTCAAGAAAGAGGTGACCAAACTGGAAAAAGTCCAGCGTACTTTCATTAGGTTGGTTCACCCTAGAAACCACCCAGGAACTGCCCCGTGTAGTATTCCGGATTACGAAGAACGAATGAAATGGTCAGGGCTGATGAGTCTGAACAAGATGAGGTTAGTTAATGAACTCACGCTAGCGATCCGAATACTCAGACATGAAACAGAATGAAATCCAGCAACTATTGGGTTATCAAACCGTGCGGCGAAAGATCTGGGATGTTCGGAATATATCATCAAGGAATTCATAAGAAATTTCGCTCGTTTACGTGCCACTAATACTTCTATCGCGTGGCTATGAACTTCGAAAAACTGCTAACCGAGTTGTTCAGATCAGTGCATGGTAAGAAGTTTAATGAATATCTATTGAGGCTTGATGTTTCCGATCTTATAAGCTCTGCAATCTGAAAATGAACAATTTAGGTATCGCTACGGTGGACTCCCATGTTTCTGTAACAGCACCCCACTAACTGTGCGGCGTAAACATCACTAGCAGATTTTTTGTCCGGGCTTGAGGCTTCACTAATTGACATTTCAAACATCACATTCTTTCTCTTTTAAAGTGTTTTCCTCTTGAATTCGCCATTGAGAAATAGGGTGGAGTCCTACGTATATCACGGCTGACGTCCGGCTAGTACCTGGCCTACCTGTTCCACGATGTTTTCGGTATACTCGTGTGCCGAAGTTCAAGAAAGCTCGTCTATTTGTTTGGGAAACCATTGCTGACTGGTATAGGTGCTGGAGTTGGCAGCCAATCACAGTCGAGCCGGGTCAAAGGGTCTTCACTATACTCCTAGCCTTTTTATTTATAGTCTTGTTTTCTATTTATGGTTTTGTTTTCATTTTGATATTTGTGGTCTTGTGCTAGATTCCCGTGAATTAGGGTGGTAATAGTTGCTCAATATTCTCACTATCCTGTAACTCACATAGTTATTCGAAGATGACTAGACTCTTCTCAGTAAACCACAATAACTGTTATTATTACCCTCTTAAAGGCGCGTGAAATGGCACGCATAAATAAATAGATAAATCAGTATCCATATTGCGAGGACAGAAGCTCGTCTAACCTTGGGTCGCTGGGAGGTCATCGGGTCTCTGCTGTCCGAGTTTGTTCAGCTACAGTGACGGCTGAGTTTCTTTTACCGTTCTGACAATCTGTTGACGATCTCAGTATGCAGAGGCGTTGATGCTCATGCTATGGGCTATCAGGTGTTTGTGGGGGATTCATGTCCAATTTTCTGGCAGTGCTTACAATGCGACGACGATGCCTGTTTGTTCACTGCGCAACTCGCGGCGTTTGGTGGTTTTAACCAAGACTAGGGTATCCCAATCTCAATTCTATCAGGTCCCAGTGGATTACTTCAATTTCAAACTACTAACATTTTGTGATGGCAATCAATATGATTCCAACCAAAAAGTCGAGCCAGCTCAGCGGTATCGAGCAGTGCGCATTCAGTTTATTTTCTGTAGGCTCCATCCTGAATTGAGAAGACATGGCATCTCGTTAGTTAATACGTTTTCGTACGAAATCCAACATAGCACAATTCTCAGCCTAATCAAGTTCCGTCCCCTGCTTGAGAACCCACTGCCAGGCTGCAGGCAGTTTATACTTCCGCAAATCTTTCAAATCTTGAAGCTCTCTGAATCTGCTGCGAAACCATGCTGGTGACAATAGGAGAAGTATTTAACCGCTCACGGAAGTTGAGATATTTCTTCTCACTCAGAGAAACTTTTGACGTGAATTTCATCTAAGAGTTGGTGGGAAGCCGTAGATAGCTGCGCCCACACAACATCCTTGGAAGGAGAAGTGAAGGCATTTCCAATTCATACGCGGTCCATGTTTTGCAGATCACGCTCGTCATACTCTCATAGCTCTTAAAGAGGGGGGCACGAATAGTACTCCGCCTCTCAAGCTCAGTTCTGCACATGCTCATGCTCTGGTCTCACTAATTCTCTCACTTTTAACTGTTTCCTTTAGGTGGCTGGCTTTAGAAGACTCGCTTCATCAATGCNTCAAGCCGAATGAGACCTTCACTTACTCAGGCCTTCTTAACCTTACTT